ATTTGTACAATGATTCATTGAAAACTTTTATTTTTCAGTGACAAATGGATGTTGTAATAGTTGGCCATAAACTTAGCACAATGTAGGTATCATTTCTTGTTTAAAAAGTTTATCATGTCAAAATTCGAAAATGTAGGAATGCTGTTTTTTTTTGGCCCGCCTTGTTTTTTTCGTCCTATCGCATTAGAATTGAAGTCTATCGTATATCGTAATATCCGTCTTTAAAGTTAGCGGGCCACGTTTACTCCACAGCAGACCATGAACTTTGTACGCAAACGCGGCGGAAGATTTGAAATTCTGCCCTCTGATACTCATTTAAGTACCGTCGTGCCTCCTTAATTAAATCCGACCCGTTGAATTTTTCCTGTTTAGTATAAAGTCTTGGTTATTGACTATCGTAATCCGTCTTTAAAGTTAGCGGGCCACGTTTAGTTCGGTGCAGACAATGAACTTTGTATGCAAACGCGGCGGAAGATATAACATTTTGCCCTCATACTGCCTCATTAAATAAACCCGGACCGTTGAATTTCATACTTTTAGTATATAGTCTTGGTTGTTGACTATCGTAAGCCGACTTTTGAGTTAGCGTGTCACGTTTAGTTCGGTGTAGACAATGAACTTTGCATGTATGTAAACGCAGCGGGAGATCATGTTCAAATTAAATTATTAAATTATTATTAAATTCTGCCCTCTAATACTCATTCAGTACCGTCGTGCCTCGGTAACGGCCCGTTGAATTTGATACTTTTAATACAAAGAGTAGGTGTATGGCTATAAGTATCAATCTTTGAATTAAACGGGCCACATTTAGTTAGACGGAAGATAGACTTGTCTTTATACCCTTTCCAGCCCACTCAGATTGCCCATTTGACCGCCATGTTCCACACGTCTTGCCCCCCCCCCAAAAAAGTATCGCTGTGGCTCATTAATCAAATCCGTCCCGTTAAATGTGATACTTGCATTATATAGCCTTGGTCGTTGGCTATCATAATCCGCCTTTCAA